CAGCCAGCTGGCTGGGGAATTCTGGGAGTTGAAGTCCACCTGCCTTAAAGTTGCCAAGGTTGAGAAACCCTGTTTTAGAGAGGAGTAGGAGTAGATTTATCTCCTGCTTGTACTTGGATGGGGGACCACCAGAATATCCCAGATTGGTGGGCTAGACTGGGAAGTTCACAAAACGAGGAAAACTGAGTTCATTTGTACATCTCTTGATGTGACGTATTATCATGTTGATAGGTCATACTCGGCAATGAGTAATCTAAACAGCTCTTACTCCAGAAATTACACCTTGAAAGGGAGAGGATCTTCATAGATTTACAGAGCAAGTCATATTTCTGCATTTATTTCCTGGACAAGCCTCATGTCCCTTTTCAAATGCAGTAGAACACATGGAAGAATGCGATTGGCATGTGAGTTTTCAGAGCTGGGAGTGTTGTGGCATAGAAGAAAAAACAAAAGTTCCATGTGAGCATGTTTTTTTTAAAATTTTTCCTTCGATGCTACAACCTTCCCTCCTCTGAAATCACCAAAGCGAACACAGACATTTACAACAGGTCTTTAAGGAGGTCTGCATGTTTATAAACACTCTAAATCGGTCAAAGTAGAGAGAAGGGGGGAGTCAGAGATTAAATACCTATCTATTTTCTAAGCAGCTCTTTTCTTTTTTCTTTCTTTTAATATTCATATCAACAATACATGATAATACAGTGGAGCCTTTAGCATTAAGTATTAACACAAACATCTAAACTTTTTTCATATTATAAAGTAATTTAATGCATTTTGCCATTTCTTATCAGTGTGATATTTAGCATTAATTGCATGACTTAATAATCTTATGTTCTTGAATATTTTAGAAACCATATTTAAGATTGATATAGATGGCCTTTTTCCTTCATCTTTCAAGGTTTAATTCAATGTTTTTCAAACCTGGCAACTTGAAGATGTGTGGACTTCAATTCCCAGAATTCTCCAGCCAGCATATGCTTGCTGGGGAATTCTGGGAGTTGAAGTCCACACAAGTGGCCAAATTAGAAAGAGCCTGGTTTAATTTATCTTAATCATCACAGTGTTAATAGCTTCCCATTTCTATTGTTTAAATACCACTGAACTCAGTTATTATCTGTGTTCTATAGTGCGTTATTTGTATTTTATAATGCAATAAAACAGTTAGCTTGAAAAAAAAAAAACCTTGAGAATAATAATAATAATAATAATTATTATTATTATTATTATTATTATTATTTTTAAAAACCCTTTCTAAAAAAGAAGTTCTGCGCACGCCT